CTCCCTCCTCCCTCTCCTCCTCCTGGCCGCCCAGGCGGGCGACCCGACTAGGGCCAACTTGCACGGGGGGTGGCCCCCCCGGGGTACCCAGGCGACACCGAAAAGGGTGCCAGTTTTTTAAACTTTTTTCTTTTATTTTCTTTGGCAGTGGGGCAATTTTGAGCCCACTGAGACGCGCCCAAATCTCGCCTCATCTTTGAGTTTCTTGATATCTCGCCAAATCGTGTCTATCGGGTATAAGCGGGGTTCGAAAGGGCTCGAAGGGGCTTAAGGGGGTGTAAAGGATTATGATATAATTTTTTAGTATTTCAATTTTATTTTCTGTTTCGGATTCCATAGCGAATTTCATGGTCAGGCAAATGATGTTTGGTTGACGGGGACCTTGACTGGGACTTCGCCCGCATCTGGCTCAGCTGGGTCACCCAGGCCAATCTGAGGCAACCCCGGCCACCCAGCTGGTACCACACTGGTTATCTCCCAGGTCTGGGGTCCACGGGCCAATCTGAGGCAACCACGACCTCCTTTTTTTGCACAGAGGCCCTCCAAGACAGGCCCTCCATGCACGTCTGGGGTCGGAGGGGAGATGAGATGATATTCTGCAATTTAAAATTTTAAATTGTCGATTTCACCGAACTCAAAATAGTAGCGAGATGAGAGAGGATTCTGCGGTGGAGATTTTACCACTACAGTTGGAGAAAAAAAAAATTGAAAAAAATGGTAACGAGATGACCGGGCCGGTGTCGCCTTGGAATTCAGAGCAACGAGTGGAAAGAAAAGGACATGTGGAATGTGATCCCAATGCCTGTCACACGAAGGCATGATGCCTGCTTCTCTTCTCCCCACCCGTTCGTCAATGCACATCCTTTGGTTTCGTTTCCCACATATATTTTATTATTTTTTTCAGTGTATGGTAGAAATGAAACAAATATAGGTTGAGATTTAAAACTAATAAAATAGTAATAATGATGAGAAATGAGAAATGAGAAATGAGCTAAATTGCTCAGCTCTGTCCATCTGACTCTAGGGCCTTCACAATGGTGTCTTTGAAAAAGAAGAAGGTTGAACTCCCAGGTTTGAAAACAGATCCCATCGCAACAAAGCTAGCATTACAGCAACTGAAATGAAACCAATGGCAAAAATTTAAAATTCCAATAACACAAATGGTTTCCATGTCACATCTTCACTGACCACCGAGACGTAGACTGCCGATCAATCGATCGATAGCAACACCACCGCCTCTCCTCTCCTCTGATGGATGAGTTATAAAAGTGAGCAACCGATGCTACCCTCCTCGGCAGTGTTACGAAAAGTATAGGTAGTCCTGTGTAGAGTGAGTGGGGAAAGAACGTCAAAAGGAGGAGGAGGAGGAGGAGGAGGAGGAGAATGAATAATTGAAGTTGGATTGTAGGGACTTTCGAAAAGAATCGGTGCACCTACAACGTTTTTAGGCGTGGATGAATCGGTGCACCGTGCGGGTATCCGTGGTGCACGTCAGAGGGGGCCTAAAACCCCCCTGAGGTACTGGTGGTTTAAAAGAAAGACCATGCTTATATTAAAAAAGAAAAAAGAAAAAAGGAAGGAAGGACAGAAGAAAGGAAGAAATGAAGAAAGGAAGAAAGGCAGGAATGCCCTTTTTTTTCAAAAGAGCATGTTAACGCTCTATGCAACATCCTCCAAGTACACAGGGACCGCTATGTTTTCTTACATCCGTCTACAGTTCTACTCCATCTCTCAACAGCCTTTTTTATCCATGTGCGTTTTTCGCAGAGAACGTCTCTCACTCTATCGGTGAAGGAAATCAGATAACAATCATAACGACGCAGAATTACAAATATCTGTCCACTGATAGATCAACCGATTCGATTGACTGACTGATGGGCAGGCGGTGGTGGCAGCAGAGTCGACGAAGTACCATAAACAGATCAAGAGAACTTTCTCACCACCATCCATGATTGTTCCTTGTACTGTTGGATTTTGACTGGTAGCATCCGGCAGACAGCGTCCCGCAGGCGCGGTCCGTCAGGCTTGGTCCTTGCTTCTCAGAAGAGAGGGTGGAGGAGGAGAGGTGATCGTCTCCCAAGTACGCATCACCAACATCCATTGTACCTTGTACTGTTGGATTTTGCCCGGTAGCATCCGGCAGACAGCGTCCCGCAGGCGCGGTCCGTCAGGCTTGGTCCTTGCTTCTCAGAAGAGACGGCGGAGAGGTGATTGTTTCCCAAGTGCGCACATGGAGGAGTGCAGGAAGCCACCACCACACTACTAGAGCACAATCGATAGGAAGATCACCCTAAGTGCGACAGTCAACCAAGGCGGGAGTTTCCTCGTCACCCCGACCAAAGCAGTACAGAGAGAAAACCACCGTCCCGCTACTAGAAGAGCACAATTGCAGTACAGCAAGAAAACCGCCTCCCCAGAGTCCCCGCTACTCGAGGAGCACACTTGAAAAATGGATGATCCAGAGTGCCCCAGCTAAAGAAGCCTTAGGATAACGAGGTGTGTAGGACAGAATGTTCTAGCTTGTTGGAAAAAGGATGAGAGGGAGGGAGGTAGTTTCCCTCCCTCTCACCTTCAATAGACGGCGCCCAGTGCATCACTATGCGAGCGGAAGGAGGACAACATGAAACGCCGCATTGAAGTCCTCTAATCGGATAAAAGTCCTTTCTGAAGTTTCTATATGTCAAACCCATTCAGGAGCTAGAGATCGAGAGATCACGATCTCGATGGAGAGAGAGAGCGAGAGCGAGAGCAAGAGCGAGAGCGAGAGAGAGAAGGGTTATCGTTGCCGATTCACATACGCAAAGCAGAGGGTAGTGTGCAACGCTTCACTACCATAACGTGGAAGGCCTAGAATGAAGAGAGAGAGAGGAGAGTACCGTGGAGATCTGCCTAGGCAGACAAACCGGTATTCCATTCCTGTGAACAATGCTGAATGAATCTGGCTGTGATTGCGGTCAGACACACTCAGGATCAAAGGCAGGCATACAGACAAGGGCGACTGGAAGCAGGACCACCACTCCAGAGAGCCTAAACGTATAAGGACCACCTCAGAGCTACAGGCAGGAACCATTCTAAGGGACAGATTTTGTGCAAAGGCAGCTATGCTCTTCTCCCTTGGGATCTCGACCCTAGGATGCAGTGATTGATTGGGTGCGCATGCGCTCACTCCCTTCAAGTCCCTTGTGATCTGGACCCCATAACTGCTTATGCAATAATTGCTATTGTGCTTCTCCTCAGTTGAAAAGACTATACTATCTATTTAATCGTCGAAAATATATATATATATATATATATTTTTTAGATTTAAACTGAGCTATATTCTTCTCTCAATTTCACCTTTCACTATCTACCTATCACTGCTCCTTAAGTAGCTATGCTCGCAGGGGTCCTCTCTATTTAGTTTTCTAGTATGCTTCTGCTTCCGTTCAAAAACTATTCAAGGCGAGCACAGGGTCGACCCCTTTCTTTCTATTTTTGTTTTTAACCCCTCTATCCCTTGCATTTCCCAATCATACTGGAGTTGCTTAACACCACCGCTCCCTCGAGGCACTTTTCTCCATCCCTGCTGGAAATGCCCTGCGCACACAGAAAAACAAACAAACTGGCGCAGACTCCTTTTGGCTGGCCCCGACTGCCATTTTGCTTCGGAGGCCGAGCCCCAAAGTTGAGGAAGTTGCGGCACATTAAAAAGTTACATGCCCGCAGCCTACGTATCGCTCAAGTACTGGCGGTTTAAACCACCGGTACGAACCACCAGTACACCATAGTACCATACATTGGCCTCGGTGCCAGCGGCCGACGCATGGGCCAAGTACTGGTGGTCTAATACCACTAGTAGTCTAGTACACCATACCAGTTGGCCTCAGGCTCGGGTGTCGGGCTGACACCGGTACCACTTCGGAGGCCGGCCGACGATTTTCTTTTGCCCACAGCGCCCCGCCCCACCCCGCTCCGCCCCGCCCCACCCCGAAATCTGAAGTTGGTGGCGGCGATATCTTTCTCCAAGGCCGTGTTCTGGTGGGTTCCCGGCCCCGAAATCTGAAGTTGGTGGTGGCAAAATCTTTCTGCAAGGCTGTGTACTGGTGGGTTTAGGGTTTAAGAGAGGCATGAGCAGAGCGTGGTCCATTATTATTATTAGGCAGATCCTGATGCCCATTCGCACATGTCCCACTGTCCCCTTGACACATGTCCCACTGACCCATCATTGGTGCCAGGCAATGCTTTTAAGAGTCCTGCCTGATTCCCACGTAGAAGCTCGCATACATGCTGACTCTATCCATGTACGTCTCACTGCTCCGTATGCGGATCACTGCAAATGAAAACATCGGCACAAACCAATAGATGGGTGGATGATAAGTCTTAGAGATCATATTCTCCATGCAGATGGACAAAAAAACAAAGGAGAAAAAAAAAAAAAAAAAAAGTTACAAATGTGTATACAAATAACTAAATATTAAGCCTATGACCTGCTGCTGCGTCGCCTGCAAAACAAACAGGGAGGCATGAGCATATCCATGGCAGTTTGTCATGCACCGAAAGACTGTTCTTTTGCTCCCCCAAAAAACAAAACAAAAAAACACGAAATAGGAATAATGGATGTCATCGATTGCTCTCTCTCTCTCTCTCTCTCTCTCTCTCTCTCTCTCTCTCTCTCTCTCTCTCTCTCTCTCTCTCACAGATGGCAACAGGTCAACGGTTCTCCACCCCGTAATGTCAGGCGACCTCTCTCTCTCTCTCTCTCTCTCTCTCTCTCTCTCTCTCTCTCTCTCTCTCTCTCTCTCTCTGCCTGGTTTGCAATGCAGAGTGAGGGAGGATGGGGCTGGGAAAGGTGGCTTGGGGTGGGGGAAGGTAACGGGAAGATCCTGGCAGGAAGGCATTTGCGTCCCTCTCTCTCTCTCTCTCTCAGCCCCTTCCTGCCCCCCATCCAAGACACTCGCTCGCAAGAATTGCTTGTACTTCCCCCTCTTACCCGTCCTTCCCCTCATTTCATGCCTCTTTTGGTTGGATCTATCCATCAATTGGTTCGTTGGTTGGGTGCGTGGGCTATCGAGTGAGAGGGTTGGTGAGTGAGAGAGTGAGGAAACGGGACACAGTGCGTGGGCTATCGAGTGAGAGGGTCGGTGAGTGAGAGAGTGAGGAAACGGGACACAATGCGTGGGCTATCGAGTGAGAGGGTCGGTGAGTGAGAGAGTGAGGAAACGGGACACAGAGAGAATGTAGGGAATGAGGCGGCGTGTGCGGGAAGGAGGCGGGGGAGGAGGGGAGGAGCGGGGTGGGGAGTGATTTTGGGCAAAGATACGTGTCAGCAAGGCATATAGGGGAACAATGTTTGTTCATTTTGAGTTCGCTGTGTTAAACGATGCATTAAAAAAATGATTGGGTGAATGCTCCCGTTCAAAAAATGCAGACACTAGTCATGTCAGAATGAACCTGGACGTGCAGATGGACAAGTGCACAATCTGCACTGGATGTTTAGGTGCCCAGGTGCACTCTTGCAGCGCGCGCGCGCGAGAGAGAGAGAGAGAGAGAGAGAGAGAGAGAGAGAGAGAGAGAGAGAGA